ATCCCGCTGCTGCGGTCGGTCCTCCCGTCTCACCTCGCCGTGCCGCCCCTGGGTACCGTCCTCTGTCAGATCCTTCTATCCCCCATTTCCTCCGTTAGGCAATCTTTAAGCCTCCTCCTTCCCCTCTTATTCCTTCCCACTGCTTTTCCCTTCTTTCCTCGCACCTTCTTCAGGAATCCCCGTTCTTGCACTTGGTCAGGCGGCTGCCTTCTCCAAGGGGCCTGCGGCTCATGGGTTAGGAAGTTGAGCTTCTAACGCGGTCGTTTGAAGATGACAGGCTTGTCCTTTCTCCTAAGCAGGAGTTACAGATTTCAGCAAGTATGCCCCCCCTCAAGAAGCGTCGAAACACCCCCAAGTTGCCCCTAGCCTTAAACCCCCGGAAGAGCAAGGACGTGTTGGCAGTGCTGGCGGAGAGGAACCAGCCTGTCGTGCCCGTGGGGGCGTGGGTGGAACCTGCCTCGCCGCACAGTTCGGGAAACACAGCGTATGTGAGTGTCAGTGTGAACCGAAATACTAAATACTGGGGTTCCTACCCCATCTTTCCCTTTTTTTTTTTTTTTTGCCTCTCTGGTGCTTAAAGATAGTCCGAGGATGCTATTTCTCTTCGGTCATAAATAATATATTCTCGCATTAGCATTATAGAACAATCACGGGTGTATTTGCCAAAACTCACATACGTATAACATGTATATATTTCAGTTTACTTCACAAATTCTTGAGTGCTTGTTATGCACAAGCAATAGGCAACGCCTATATCTTCTACAGTGTAATCAGGACCACAGTTGGCCACATTTCATGCAACATTATCACAAAGTTTTTCTTAAAAATATTTTCTTTATTAATTTCAGAGAGGAAGGAAAAGGGAGAGAGAGATAGAAACATCAGTGACAAGAGAGAATCATTGATTGGCTGCCTCCTGGGGAGCGAGCCCAGCAACCTGGGCAGGTGCCCTGGACCGGAAACGAACCTGGGACCCTTTAGTCCACAGGTCGGGGCTCTATCCACTGAGCCAAACTGGCTAGGGCATCGCTTACAGTTTTTGATAAGTTTGGTCGTGGAGATTCAGGCCGTAAGAGAATAGAGGAGGGAAAGATGAATTCTGACGGGGATTCTGAGGAAATGTGTACCTATAAATTCCATGAGGACAGAGGCCTTTATGTGCTGTTTGTTCCTGTCCTGGTTTATGGTAGGTCTTCAGGAAATACTTGTTGCATGAATGAATGAGGAAATACAGCTTGTGTTGGTCCTTAAAGAATGGATCTGCTGTAAGTACAAGATGGCAGGGAGGAAGGAGATGAAGGGAAACTTCTGCAAAGTTTACATGTGTGCCTGTTTACATAGTTAGACTCATACCACTAAGTAACACATGAGGATAATTTTTTTAAATATATTTTTTACAGAGAGAAAGGGAGAGAGAGAGAGAGTTAGAAACATCGATGAGAGAGAAACATCCATCAGCTGCCTCCTGCACACCCCCTACTGGGCATGTGCCCGCAATCAAGGTACATGCCCTTGGCCGGAATCGAACCTGGGACCCTTGAGTCCTCAGGCTGACACTCTATCCACTGAGCCAAACCGGTGAGAGCATGAGGATAATTTTGTAAGAAGATTTTTATAGTCTTTCACCCAAACCTGTTTCACTTCGCTATTTGTTCAGATTTTATTATGACATTTAACACATTACATTCATAATAAGTTGTTTACATATCTACTTTTCCTGATGGAGTGTGAGTTCCTGGATCACAGGGGGGAAAAAATCTTACTTATCACATTTCCATCTTCATCTTAGTTCCTAACAAATATGGGCATTCGGTAAGTATTTATGGAATGCAAAAAGTGTGTGAAGGTTTCTGAATGTATAGTATAGACAGGATGATGAGCATGAAGGTGAAAAGTATGAAGTTTACTTAGTGGTCCTTAGAGGAGAAATGAGGTATGTTTAAAGTAAATGTTAAATAGTAATGCAGTGTTTATTTTATTTATGTTTTTATGTATGTAATTTAAAGTAAATGTTAAATAGTAATGCAGTGTTTATTTATGTTTTTATGTACGTATGTGTGTATGTACATATTCATTTATTTCTACTCTGCCTATTTCCAGAAAGGATTTTAAGAGTTTGTGTAATGTATGATTAAGTGCTAAGACTATGGTATTTAAAGAAGAAAGATAAGACTTTGTGAATACTGATCAGGGACTCAAATGCGATAAAATGTTCCAAATTGTTTAGGATATGTATTGGAATTGAGCATTACACAGGTATTAAATACCTTTATATTCAAGTCTCTGTGTTATATAGAGGAAATAAAGGAGAATTAAATACATTTCCTGCCCTCAAAGAGATCATAATCTAATGAAGGAATCAAGAAACACTGTACTCAGTTAACGTTAATCAGAGGTACTAAGCATAACAGAGCTGAGAGGAAGAAAGGATTGTGGGAGGTACTAGGAGGTGGGTATTAGATGGTCTGGGAGATGGAGTAGTTCTTTACTAGATAGAGATTACAGGAGGGCATGCGGGGTTAAAAATGGAGCATAATTCTGAGTATGAAGGCATTTTAGAATAAGATATTTTGGTGAGTGATAAGCAATCTGGTGTGTCTGGACTGTTTCACTATTTTAGAAAATGTAGAACATAAGATGGATTTGAATTGATTCATTAAGAATTAATGAAGACACTGTTTGTTCTCAGTTCAGTGAAAAATTCAGATTGGATTTGAATACTCCAAATTCCAATTTTTAGTTTGTGATTTGCTTTGAAGTTCTCAGCACTCACTAGCTATGTCTAGATTATCACCTCTGAACTCCTGTGATTTCGTTACTCTACTGGGAATTTTGGATTATAGAACTGAGTTATTTTTTTCAGGATTGTTTCCTGACTTGTGTTTATAACAGAGCCCTATTGGGAAAAACGGTTGACATTAAAGTTCATTTTCTGTCTTTCATCTTTAAAGACTGCAGCATATGTAATTGAGAAAGAAATAAAGGAACAGTTAAGAAAAAAACAAGAAGCTTTGAAGCATTTTCAGAGACAAGCCAAACACCGAGTAAATCAACGAGTTAGGCTAAGAAAAAAGCAACAGCTTCAGAAGTTCTATGAAGAAGTAAGTTCAAAGTGAGCCCTGGGTAAAGAGTGAGTGGGAAGTGTATGTGTTCTGAGATAAGCTATGACAGTACCAGCTCACTTTCTTTTGATTCCATGCTTTGTATAATCTGATTTGCTGGTGAGAGCAGTAGATTTGTATGTAGAGAAACCATGTTTTATTCCTGTGTTGTTCTGACTCATTTTTTGCTCCTACTAATTAAAAACAATGTTTTGGATTCCTTTTGGGGTTTGAATTCGGGCTTATGCTATTTTTTACAATTAAATTTATTGAGGTAACATTGGTTAATAATACATAAATTTCAGGTGTACAACAAAATTCATTATCTGTGTATTCTATTACATGTTCACCACCCAAAATTTAGTTCTCTTCTGTTATCAGATATTTGACCGTCTCTACTCATTTTGCTCTTTCTCTCTGGTAACTACTATTCTGTTGTCTGTTGCCTATGAGTTTGTTTTGTTAGTTTGTTACTTTTTTGTTTGAAATTCGACATATAAGTGAAGTCATATAATTTTTGTCTTTTTCCATCTGACTTATTTCACTTAGCATAGTATCCTCAAGATCATTCATGTTACTACAGTGGCAATTTTTTTTTAATGTCTAAGTAGTGTGTGTGTGTGTGTGTGTGTGTGTGTGTGTGTGTGTGTATGTGTATCCATTCATCCATTGATGGACACTTAGGTTGTTTCCATGTCTTGGCTATTGTAAATAATGCTGTAGTAAACATAGGGATACATATATTTTTATGAATTAGTGTTTTTATATTTTTCATGTAAATACCCAGAAGAGGAATTGCTGGGTCATATGGTAGTTCTATTCTTAATTTTTAAAAGAATCTCCATACTGTTTTCCATAGTGGCTGCACCAATTTACATTCCCACCAACAGTGTACAAGGGTTTCTTTTCTCCGTATCTTCTCCAACACTTACTATTTCTTGTCTTTTTTAAAATAGCCATTCTAGCAGGTATGAGGTGGTTTTGATTTGCATTTCTCTAATAACTAGTGATGTTGAATATATTTTCATGTCTGTTGGCCATCTGTATGTCTTCCTTAGGAAAATGCTGTTCAGATCCTCTGCCCATTTTTTAATCCGATTTTTTGTGTTGTTTCTTTTTGTTGTTATTGAGTTTTATGAGTTCTGTATATATTTCGGATATTAATCCCTAATCGGACGTGTCATTTGTGAATATCTTTTCCATTTGGTGGGTTGCCTTTTTGTTTTGCTGATGGTTTCTTTTGCTATGCAGAAGCTGTTTAGTTTGCTGTAGCCCCAATTGTTTATTTCTGCTTTTGTTTTCCTTGCCTTTGGAGTCAAATTCACAAAAAACATCTCTGAGACCAATGTCTGGGAACTTAATTTTTTTTTCTACGTATTTTATTGTTTCAGGTCTTAGATTCAAGTCTTTATTCAATTTTAAGTAATTTTCGTGTATGATGTAAGATAGTGGTCTAGTTTCATTCTTTTGCATATGGCTGTCCATTTTTCCCAGCACTGTTTATTGGAAAGACTTTCCTTTCTCCATTGTATATTTTTGGCTCCTTTGTTGTAAATTAGTTGCCCATGCATATGTAGGTTTATTTTGGGGCTCTCAATTCTGTTCCATTGGTCTGTATACCTATTTTTCTGCCAATACTATATCATTTTGGTTACTATAGCTCTGTAGTAAAGTTTGGAGTTGAGGAATGTGATTTGTTTATTATTTTTAGTAGTTTGTTGGTGGAGTCTTTAGGGTTTTCGATATATGTAATCATGTCATTGCAATTAATGACAATTTTCCTTCTTTCCATCGAATTTGGATGCCTTTAATTTTTTTCCTGCATTTTTGCTCTGGCTAGGACTTCTAATACTATGTTGAATAATAGGTAAGGTGGGTATCTTGTCTGTTCCTAATCTTAAAGAAAGAGCTTTCAGCTTATCATTGAGTATGATTTTAGCTGTGGGTTTATCTTATTGGCCTTTATTATGTTGAGGTACTTCCTCCTATACTCATTTTTTTTAGGGTTTTTTTTTTCTTTCATAAGTATATATTATAACTTGTCAAATGCTTTTTCTGCATCTCTTGAGGTAATTACATGATTTTTTTTTATATTTAGAATTAGGCAGCTGGACTCAGTTTAGATGATCCCAATTTTGTTGGCAACACCCAAAGCATCAGAGTCAGGAGCCAGTCGAACATATGCCGCCTTCTCTCCATCAGGCCTGATCAGTGTGTTGACGTTGGCCACAACAATGTCATAGAGCTTCTTCACAGCCTGTTTGATTTGGTGCTTATTGGCCTTGACATCGACAATGAACACAAGTGTATTATTGTCTTCTATCTTCTTCATGGCTGACTCGGTAGTCAGGGGAATTTGATGATGGCATAGTGGTCAAGCTTGTTTCTCCTGGGTGCGCTCTTCCGAGAATATTTAGGCTGACTTCGGAGTCTCAGTGTCTTTGGCTGTTGGAAGATGGGTGACGTGCGGATCTTTTTTGGACACCTTTCAACACTGCTTTCTTTGCCTCCAAAGTCTTTGCTTTGGGAGGGGCAGGAGCTTCCTTCTTAACTTTCGATGCCATCTTCGTAAAAAGGAATTATGTGATTTAAAAAAAATATTCTTTGCCTCCAAAGTCTTTGCTTTGGGAGGGGCAGGGGCTTCCTTCTTAACTTTCGATGCCATCTTCATAAAAAGGAATTATGTGATTTTTAAAAAATATATATTTTATTATTTTTTTACAGAGAGGAAGGGAGAGGGATAGAGAGTTAGAAACATCGATGAGAGAGAAACATCGATCAGCTGCCTCCTGCACACTCCCTACTGGGTATGTGCCCGCAACCAAGGTACATGCCCTTGACCGGAATCAAACCTGGGACCCTTGAGTCCGCAGGTCGATGCTCTATCCACTGAGCCAAACTGGTTAGGGCAGAATTATGTGATTTTTATCCTTCATTTTGTTAATGTGGTATATCACATTGATTAATTTGCGGCTGTTGAACCATCCTTGCACCCCTGGAATGAATCCCAGTTGATCATGGTATATGATGGTATAGATGTTTTACTTGCTGTAGATGTAAGGGGCTATGCAAAGGGGTCTTCTCATTTTTCCATGATGCTGACCTGGCTTATGCTTTTTTTATTAGCAATGTGAACTTTGGGCTAATGACAACTTCTCTGGACTGTAGTTTCTTCACCTATAAAGTGGGGATATAATACTTGTCTCATAAGACTGTTGTGAGAATTAGATGAGATAATGTAAATTATTAGCGCATAGTAAGTGCCTGGTAAATGTGTTTTTGCCAGATTTCTGCTACCTCCCCCTGGCACCAATTTTAAATCTTTTGGGCTGCTTATAGACATTATTTGTACTGGGTTGGGGTGGAATCTCACTAGAATCATGTCACTCTTTCTTCCTTTGTATAGGCAGAAAAAGAAGACACTGTAGGTATGCTGCCTTCAGATCTAGAACACTTCACTTCTAAAAGAACAGGAGTTTTTCCGAAGACTTTGAATGCTGCTATTGGAAGTGCTTGGTCACCTTCTTCCCAGAAGCTTGATGATGGAATACAAGATAGAGAGAATGAGAATCAATTAATACAACATGCCCAGGCTGTAAGTACATATTTATTTTATATCTACAATTTTTTGTAGATGTATGACATATTAGGATATGAAGTAGAGATTAGGAGGTATCACATTCAACTTTACTTTTTCTCACCTTTTTAAAAATCTTAAAAAGTGGGAAATAGTGGGATGATGTTTATTTTAATATATGTTAAAAAATATTATATTTGTTTTTGGTAAGACAATTTAGAATCATCTTATATAAGGTGCCAAAGTGTTAAAGTTCAAAAGTTATTAGAAAGAGCTTTGGCCAGGTAACTCAGTTGGTTAGAGCGTCATCCTAATACACCAATGTTGCGGGTTTAATCCCCAGTAGAGAACATATAAGAATCAATCAACGAATGCATAAATAAGTAGAACAACAAATCATTGTTTTTCTCTCTCTCCTTTCCTCCATCTCTCTCAGTTTGTAGCATATGGGCAAGGTGATCCTAACCTTTGTTGCAAAAAAGGTTACTACATATGTGGGGGATTTTGTTTGTTAATTTTTTTTGTCGTTTAATCCGATTCTCATAATAAATAATTCTAAAACGCAAGTAATAATATAGGAAATTCTCAATTAACACATTCAGAGGTTTTTTTACCTGTAACTTTTATTTAGTGATTCATTTTCTATACCTGATATTTCAAAATTAACCACCATCAGTAGATCCATTCACTTGAATCACTTGATGCCATCCAGTCAACTCTATTCATAGTATGCCTGAGCTTTTGTCCAGTTGATATCATATATTTCAGGTCTGCTGTGGGAATTATCTTCATCTTACCACTTAAAAATTATATTCCTAGGGATAGTGAGAGGAAAGCAAAATGTGGAAAATGATGATTTTGTGAAAATAAAAGTTGTGTAACTGCTAACGTGTTTGATCACAGTATGAAGCAAATCCAATTGTGCTATTAGTATAAATAGGGAAAGCTTTATAAGCACATGTTATGTTGAAATATTTAAAAACATTTTTTTCTTTATCCAAAACTACAACTTTTTCTTGTCTTTGTTCAGTTTTTTAGTCATCATTTTTATAATCATTTTTGTTTTCTTTTATAAGATTATGAATAATTTGTTGAGCAAATATTTATTGAGCCAGGCACTGCATACAGTAAAAGGGATAGAAAATTGATTAAGACAGACACAGTCCTTGCTTTTATGTTCCTTGTAGCTATAAATCCCACTGAAGTAAGAATTTTACTTCATCTGTATAAAACATAAATAGATCAGTCCACCAGATGTACTGTTTGTTCAACATTGTAGGGATACTAATAAAATGTGAAATAGGACCCTTTGTGGGTTTATATTTACAAGTAGACATACAAAGCTAATAGACCCCCAATTTAGTAGACATTAATGTAGAGATACTTGCTGTATTTGGTGATAAAGTTGTGTTTTGGCAGTTCAAAAAAATTTAAATTCCAAAGGAATAGTTAGGAAAGAATTCCTGGAAGAGGTGGAATTGAGCTGTATATTTTGAATTGTTAAGCTGAATTGAATTGGTAAATTCAAGAGAATTTTGAGATAGGAGGGACAGTTAAAAGTCTGGAATATGTATTAAGCCTGATATATTTGGAGTAAGTGATAGAACCTTTCTAATGCTAGTTTATAGAGGAAAAAACAGAAAATGAGGTTAGGTAGGAGGAAATCAAGTTATGAGAAGCCTTAAATGTTTCAAAAATTTTAAAAGTTTTTATAGTATGTTTTTTTCTTAAAAGATGAACTACTAAATGTTCAGTGATTTAAACCAGCGGTCACCAACCAGTGGTCCGCGAGGTCCGAAAGGTTCGCGACCGCTGAAAACTACTTCAAGCCTATAAACTTTTGTCCACACAATACCATGACAATAGACACTTTTTAAAGTTTACTGTTTCTGTTGCAGTTCTTATCCACTAGATGTCACTAAGAGCTAGACAGTGAGACTGTTCAAGCACAGCCACCTTTAGTTTTTCTAGAACTGGTTGAGTAAATAGTGATGTAATTCTCTTTCTGAATGTAAGTGTACTTTTCAATTTTCTTGTGATTTAAGGATGAAATAGTTTGATAGTTTGACATCTGGGATGTATTTCAAAATAATGTAAGGGTGAGGTGAAGTAGGGGGTTATAAATAAAACAAGACTGGCCAAGAGTTATAGTATTCTGTCTACTTTTATATGTGTTTGAAGTTTCTAATATATTTGAATTTATTTACATTTTACATTAAATGTTAGACAAGAAAAGACATTATCTAGTCTAACCTTTCTCTCTCTAAGGAATTCTTTTTATAGTGTTTCAAGTATACATATGGCCCTCTAATTTCTGCTAGAACATTGCCACTGTTGATCAACTCACTTTTTAGACTTTAATTTTTATAAGGTTTGAAATAATTACAAATATTTTTTCAATATATTGAGTAAAAATCTATAATTTTTACTCTGGGTCTAGTTTTGTACTCTCAAGTTATAGAGGATAAAATACCATGGTGATCTCTAAGAACACATCAAGTATTTGATTATAGTTATCATTTTTCTCCTTTTGGATTTTTACATTCCTTGACTCTACTAGCTTTTGATGTCTGCTGGCATTCCTTTGCTTGTGGCCACATCATACCAATCTCTGCCTCTGTCTTCACATCACCTTCTCTCCTATGGGTCAAATCTTCCTCTGTCTCTTATAAGGATACTAGTGACCTGGTGTGCGAAGTTGCGTGGCCCTGCCCACCCACCCACTGCCCCACCTTGACACCCTTCCACCCAGAGCTTGAGCGTGTCTGGCCCCGCCCCCGACACCTCTGGCCGTCTCTATCCACTTCAAGCCCCGCCCTCAGTCCCGTGAGTCGCCTCTGGCTGGTCCCGTCTCCAGAGCAACACGGCGGCTCCGCCCCATCATGGCGCCAGAGGAGAGTGTGGAAGCCTTGTACCTGCTGTGGAGTTTCCAGCCCCGCTTCCTGGTGGCGCGCGCTGCGCTCCTTCCCCTGGCAGGTGGGATGGTCCTGCCTCCTCCAGGCACCTCCCTGCTGCCACCCTGTCTCCGGAGCAACGCAGTGGCTCTGCCCTGCCATGCAGGCAGCCTCCTGCTGAACGGTCGTTATGGTGTGAGGGCATCATGACCATTAGCATATTAGCTCTTTATTATATAGGATTATATAGAATGTGTGATAGCATTTAGGGCCCATCTGGACAATCCAGTATTATTTCCTCATCTGAAGATCTTTAACTTAATCACATCTGCAAAGGCACTTTTTCCTTATAAAGAAACATTTAAAAGTTTCAGGTATGGGGACCAGATATCTTTGGGTAGCCATTGTTCAGTCCTCATAGCAGGTCATTGAAAGGGCCTTTGGGTTGAGTTTTGACAAAGGGTTTAGATAATGACAAAGCAAAAGAATGAATATAATATATATTCCAACTGCTTTGGCCACTTGAAATTCCTGCTTATGGGACTAAAATCAATCTGTGACTCTAATTGAGTTTTAAACTCAATGGGAAATGAAAATTATGTATCCTCATTTAAATCTGTTACATTGTGTAGGGCAATAACATGCATCCTACTGGGCAATGAGTAAAAGGAGGCATATTCACCAGCTGGTGTGGCTCAGTGGCTGATCATTGACCCATGAACCAAGGGGTTGCCAGTTCAATTCCCAGTCAGGGCACATGCCTGGGTTTCAGGCTCAATTCCCAGGGGGACATGCAGAGGCAGACGATCGATGTTTCTTTCTCATCAATGTTTCTATCTCTCTATCCCTCTCCCTTCCTTTCTCATAAAATCAATAAAAAATATATTTTTAAAAGGAGACATGTTCATGGCTTTGTATTTTTTTATAACCTCAACTGCACACATACCTCTTTTTGCATTTTAAGTAACTGTTGCGATCCCTTTAGCTACTCTGTGCTAACCAAATGTAGAAATCTCCTTCCTAGTTGAATAAAGAGTGATGTTTCAAGCAGATTTCTCTGGTTAGAGGTATAGACATTGTAGAAGCAAGAACAAAACAGAGGTGATATATGCTGTAAGGAAAATGGGCTGGTTGTGAAAGTGTTTTTTATCCCTACTTCACTATTAGTAAAAATCGCAACAGTATTTACTATTTACTAGAGGCCCGGTGCATGAAATCTGTGCATGGGTAGGGTCCCTAGGCCTGGTCCCTAGGATCAGGGCCAATCTGTGGGGTGACCAATGGGGCAATTGGGGGCCTCCACTAACCCGCCTTGGCTGGCCTGGTGCCGCCCGTTTGCCAGTCCCGCCCCCCACTGCCGCAGCCAGTTGGGGCCTGCGGGCTGGGAGCAGCTCCAGCATTGAGCATCTGCCCCCTGGTGGTCAGTGCACATTATAACAACTGGTCGTTCTGCCGGTGGTTATGGTGGTCAGTGCACATTATAACAACTGGTCGTTCTGCTGGTGGTTACACCATTCAGTCAATTTGCATATTAGGGTTTTATATAGATAGATATCTATAGTCAATTTGCATATTAGGGTTTTATATAGATAGATATCTGTAAATAAGAGTCATGATTTTCCTTCCAAGGGAGAACTAATCTCATTAAACTTTCACTGGTTGGGTTAGAACTGGTCCCTGCTTTGCCATAATTTCACTGTGTGCCACAGGGATATGCTTTCCTCCCATATGATATATAGTGCTCAGCCTAAATAAAAGGTACTTTGTTCATTTCTGTATTTTCCTTTAAGGAACATTCTATACAGATTTGTGAAATATCGAGTAGGCTGTGCTACTCTGAAAAAGAATTAAAAATAGATGCTTACTGAAATTACTAGGTAGAGATTAGGAATGAACACAAAGTCAACATACTTGGTATTAATACTCATTATCAGCTGTTACTTAGAGTACTTAAACTAATTGGTTCTGTTGAGATGTTGGAGTTTGTGTCCTCAGGTAACTTAGGAAGGCTTCATGGAAGAAGGGAGATTTGAGAAAATACTTTAAATAACAACATTCTTCAAATGTAGGGGTGAAGAAGGGTTCATGTAAATAGGAAAAAAGGATTTGAGGAGGACTAGGAATTAGAGACATCTAGCAAGGAGTGATAAAAGGTAATTAGGCATGCAAGGACCAGAAGGTAATAAGTCTGTTCAATAATTTCTAGTGTAATAATTCAAACTTTTAGGTTCTGATATTTTTGTGTACAGAGTATAAAACATACCTTATTTAAAAAAAATTTGAGCCCTTAAATCAAGTTATGAAATGCAGTCTCTTAATAAAAATAATGTAAAAACACTATCAACAGGTCACAGTCTCCTTTATAAGTAATCCTCTTGTCTTAGGTCTCTCATTTCTTAATAATAGGGGCCTGTGTTCTTGTTGGAACACTTTAGTGAATTTGGTATTAAGACATTTGTTTGCTTTTTTTTCCCTTTTCCCTGACAGCTTAGGAAAACCATGAAACAGGCACGTCACCAGCTGGCATCCTTTAAAACTATGAGTCAAAAATATGCAGCAGTGTTTCCACTAGATACAAGGAAAAGCTGTCCCACCCAACAGGTAAATTAATTTCTAATAAGTTTTTTAATAGAGATAAAAATATAGATAAAGATTTATTTATATCTAATTTCAACATTATTTACAACTGTAAAATAATTGGAAATAACCTTAAATATCCAATAGCAGGGAATGGTTAAAAAATTATGATACATCTATATATAACCATTCTAAAAACTATCATGATTTCAAAGAACATCTGCAGACAAGGGAAAGTGTCTGTGAGGTAAAGTTTAGTGAAAAAAGTAGGATACAAAATTATATACAATATAATCTCAATTTTAAAAATTCATTCAACAAATATTTATGGGACATCTACAAATGCCAAGACATTGTGTTAGAAGCAGGTGAAAAGATGAACAAAGATCCCTCAAGGAGCTTCTGTGCTGTGGGGAGGCATATAATAAAGAGATATCTATTATATTCTATGTAAAATATAATTTCTAACAGTAAGTGCTATGAAAAAAAATAAAGTAAAATAAAGAGATGGGGAGAGAATACTGTGTACATAGACAAAAGCCTAGAAAGAAGTGGATCAAGAAGTTAATACTGGCCGAAACTGGTTTGGCTCAGTGAATAGAGCGTCGGCCTGCGGACTGAAAGGTCCCAGGTTCGATTCCGGTCAAGGGCATGTACCGCCTAGAAAGAAGTGGATCAAGAAGTTAATACTGATTATTTCTGAGTAGTTGTATTATAGGTGATTTTTATTTTCTTCTCTTGGTTTTCTTTCTTAAAAGAAAATTTCTTAAAATTTTTTCTATAATGTATATATTTTGCTTTATAATTAGGAAAAAATACTGTTATTTTTAAAAAAGAAAGAAATTGTTTTGATTCAACAGATAACGTAAGAGTGAATAATTGGAACCCAAATGCGGAGCTAGACTGAAAAGGATATTTAAGGCTATACTTGTAAAATAACACTGTTTTGGTGCCTACTTATTTCAGTGTTCACATATTTGGATGCTAAACTCCTTTACTTTCCTTTGTTTACATAATTTTGGGATTAATTTCAAGTTTTGGTAGGCAGCATCTAGAAAAATGGACCATTAGGCTTATTTATTTATTTTTGCTACCATAGACTCTGTTTTATTTAGTTCTTCCTCAGCTTTGCTTCCCAACTAGTATTCTTTTATATTTTCCTACATTGTACATATATATTTTATTTTTGTATTTTTTTCTTAAGTATCTCAACAGTCAAAAACACTTGTCACTTATATGTTTGCAGTTGGTAGAATACTAAACTATACTGTCTCCCGTCCTAGTGTTAAGAAATTTATAGTTAAATATCAAAATACAAGTGGGCAGCGGTGTGTATCCATATATGGCATTCCATCTAGTTGCATTCATACTGGTTACCTTTTCCTAAAGAGCATTGCCGTATTGAGACTCAAGGTAGAGTTTCTTTTGTACCTAAATTCTTCTCAGTGGCTTGGTATCTTGACACTTTTCATACCTACCCTAGATTTGGACTGACTCCAGGGTACTGTTAGAAAGAGGCGATTGGACACATTCTAATAAACCAGAGAAAAAGGGTTATTTGATGCTAGAGATTGATATTTTATATTGTGTGGAACATGTTCAAACTGCTCAATTGTTTTTTCCCACAAAGAGTACTGTTCACAGGTCTGACTGAAATAATTATCCAGTAGAAGGAAGGAGGATTAAGCCTGAGATAACATCCTTGGATAAGCCACTTGTATACGTCAAAGATGCCATTTAAGTGTAATACATTATGATTATGATGATGACGATGAAGATGAATTCAGGCTGCTGCTTGAATTCAAAGAATTCATGTATATTTTTCAGGTGTAACATCAGAAACAAATCTCCATATAATTGAGAGTGATTAAGAAATTCGTGAAGTTTTTCTTATCACTTATTTCAAGTATGTAATCCTTCCCTCAGATCTGAAGTTTTCTACCTTCTCAGTTATCTGAAGTGGAAATCTTCCAGTCAGAAAGGAGAACCATCTATAGTCTATTTGAATTCTGCTTTCATTTCCTTGTTAGATTTATTTTTACTGACATTAGAATCTGTCTGGTTGTTATTGTTGTTCCAGACCTGGAGCTTTAAGCAGAAGATATACTTGCTCGCCTGCTGTCAGGTCACCAAGACAAAAATCATAAGCTTTCTGAAATTGTTACTGGCATCTTTTTATGTGCTTATTGCCCATTTATGTATTTCTTGTGGAGAAAATGCCAGTGTGATACCATTTTTTAATTGGGTTATTTGTCCTATTATTAAGTTGTAAGAGTTCTTTATATATTCTCAGTACAAATCAGATACATGATTTGCAAGTATTTTCTCTCATTCTGTGAGTTGTTGTCATTTCACTTTCTTAATGCTATCATTTGCAGCACAGAATTTTTAATTTTGGTGTGCCCAGTTGATCTAGTTTTTTTGCTGTTGTTGTTGCTTGTGCTTTTGGTGTGGTATCTAATAAGCCATTGCTTAATCTGAGGTCCTGAATTTTCCTCCTATATGCTCTTCTAATAATTTTATAGTCTTAGCTATTACATTTAGGTCTATGATCCATCATGAGTTAATCTCTACATTGCTTAATCTGAGGTCCTGAATTTTCCTCCTATATTCTAATAATTTTATAGTCTTAGCTATTATATTTAGGTCTATGATCCATTGTGAGTTAATCTCTGTATGTGGTGTGAAGAAGTGTTCTAACTTAATTCTTTTGCATATGGATATCTACTTGTCCCAACACCATTTGTTGAAAAATTATTCTTTCTCTATTTAATTGTCTTGACATTTCTTGAAAATTAGTTGACTGTACTAGTAAGTGTAAGAATTTATTGTTGTCTTTACAATATTGTCTTTGGAGATCCATGAAAATGAGATCTATTTATTTAGATCTTCTTTAATTCATTTCAACAATATTTTATAGTTTTGAGTGTACATTTTTGCACTTATTTTGTAATGTCCTGTTTTTGTAATATTTGACTATACTAACCTACTAAAATTGTATTAGTAGTGTGGTAAAGCCTAGGATGTTATTGCAGTCACATTGTTTCCACCTGTAATAGATACATTTGGATTTTTAGAATTTTTATATAGACATAATTTTTTCATTTTTGTTTGTGTGTTCTTTAGGAACCTGACTCTGAGGAATCTTCATCGATTACGATAGACAAGAAAGGGAAAGAAAAATTGTTCTGGAAGAACCAACAGGGTTTCTTTTCTGAAGAGAAGAACAAAACTTTCAGCAGAGTTCAGGTAAAGTAGAGTGAAAGGAGTTAGTATAATTGAAATTAAACTAAAATGACTTAGACTAGGGATGCCAGTACTGTTGTACTGGTTTGGGATTATAGTAAATCTAAATGGTTACGTGGAGCAAAGTCTATAATTTCACATTTTATTCTAATAATTTGTTTGATTACCATATCCTTTTAAGGTTATTTTAAGAGTCTCTGGAAAACCTATATTTGATGTTTATGTTCACTTTTAGAAAATACAATTAAAAACTCCATTATATGCTGTAATAGAAGAGGAACAGCTAAATGAGTTACAGGATATTCTGCCAGAAACCCAGGATTATCTTTCAGAAACCCAAGGTGATCTGCTGGAGACCCAGGGTGATCTAACAGGAGTGCAGAGTGTTAAGCTGGAAGCCCAGAATATTGAGCCACATTCCCAGGCTGTTGAGCTGGCAGGCCATCCTATGGAAGGCCAAGTTGTTGAACCCAAAGCCCAGGCCATTGAACTTAAAGTCCAGGTTGTTAAGATAGAACCTCAGAGTCTGATGCTGGAAGCCCAGAGTATTGAACTAGAAGATGGAAATATGTTGGAAGTCCATGATTTTTTATCCCCAAATCAGGCTTTTCTACCCAAAGACCAGAACATTCTACCCAATGACCAGAATATTCTACTCAAATGTCAGGACCAACATATTCTACGCAAAGACCAGCATGTTTTCCTCAAAGACCAGGATATTCAACCCAAATATCAGGACCAGGATTTTATACCCAAATGTCCAGACCAACATATTCTACGTAAAGATCAGCATGTTTTCCCCAAAGATCAGGATATTCAACCCAAATATCAGGACCAGGATTTTATACCCAAATGTCCAGACCAACATATTCTATGCAAAGATCAGCATGTTTTCCCCAAAGATCAGGATATTCAACCCAAATATCAGGACCAGGATTTTATACCCAAATGTCCGGACCAACATATTCTATGCAAAGATCAGCATGTTTTCCCCAAAGACCAGGATATTCAACCCAAATATCAGGACCAGGATTTTATGCCCAAATGTCCAAACCAACATTTTATACGCAAAGACCAGCATATTCTTGCTAACGACCAGAATAGCGTATTCAAATTTCAACACCAGCATTTTCTACCCAGAGAGCAATGTGTTCTCACCAAAGATCAGCATGTTTTCTCCAATGAACAGAATACTCTATGCAAATGTCAGGACCAGGATTTTCTACCCAGATATCAGGTAAAATGGAGTGGGAAGGAGATAAAGCAAGAAGAAATAAGCTACTTAAGGTTTGGAGTGGGATTTGCAGGGACTAGATTGCAACTAATTTGGAGATTCATAGTTGGAAAAGATAATATCCTGGTTGATTTCTAAAAGCTCTGGAGTTCTCATTAAGTCTTAAAGTAATATCAGCAGCATGTTACCCTGTCTGAACAATGTAC